ATATATATATATATATATATATACATATATATATAGTTTTTGAAAATAAATATTATTTTTTCGTTGTTGTGATAAATGCAGATACATGGGGCAAACAGATACGGTATTCTACTAAAAATTGTTCAAGTTATGAGTGATTTAGACCTCATCATCTTTAAATCCTACATTTCATCTGATGGCGGTTGGTTCATGAATTCATTTTATGTCACCAATCCCCAAGGACACAAAGTAAGAGATTCAAACCTCATTAAGTACATGCAAGAGTCACTCAATTTCGCTCAAAAACAAAAAATATCTTGTGGCCCAACTCAAGCCAAAATAAGTAATGGCAATATTGTCACCGTTGACCATTGTGGCTCAAATTGCGCCTCTCTTGAAATTACATTCTTTGATCGACCAGGAATCTTCTTTGAGATTGTCAGCCTGCTCTTCGAGCACTCTTATTTTGTAGAAGCATGTGATTTATGGACCTATAATGGACATGTGGCTTGCATCATCTATATAAACGAACAGGACACAGGTCGGCCCATCACGGGTGAAGATAGATTGGATTATTTGAGAAAATATGTGGTGAGTATTTTGGAGGCACAACATGTCACCGGTGAAACATTTATGGTGGGAATACAAAGCCCCTTAAACTGTCAAATTCATGTGGAGCGTCGATTACATCAGTTGATGAAAATGTATATGGATTATGATGTCAAAACACTGTCATTGTCAATCAAGTGTGATCAGTCGATCTTGGCTACGACCAAGGATGCCAAGAAGAAATTTGGAGGTGTTGTTGAAGGTAACATGGTGTGTTTGCCACAAGTTTTGATGGAGAAGTGGCATGACAAAGATTACTTAGTTTTGAAAGTGAGTAGTAGAGATAGGCCTAAGCTTATATTTGATGTGGTGTGTGCTCTGACGGATCTTAATTATGATATATTTCATGGCTCCATTTGCTCTCAAGATGTTGTGATAGTTCAGGTGCTTGATTATTTTCTTAGGCTTAAACTGTGAATTATAATTGTAAATTTAATTATGTTTTGTTTTTAAATGCAGGAATATTTTGTGCGGCGGACAGATGGGTGCACAATTCTCAATGAAATAGAAAAACAAAATACTCTTCAAAGTTTGATAGCCGCGGTCGAACAAAGAACATCTCATGTATGATTGATAGCCGCGGTCGAACAAAGAACATCTCATGTATTTATGATTTTTTGTACTTTTGAATCAATCAGAAATATGATATTTTATGCATGTTGAATATATATTTTAATATATCTGTTATTGAGTGCAGGGGCTAAAGATGGAGATACGTACTTTTGACAGTCATGATCTACTTTCTAACGTGTGTCGGGCATTAAGAAATAACAACTTGTCCCTCAATAACATGAAATTATCGAAGGAGAATGGCTTGGCAGTTGGCACTTTTTACATCACTGATGCCTCATCATCCACCAATGCCAATGATATTGATCAACAAAGATTAGAGGCAGTACGCAATGAGATCGGGAGAGACATCTTCTTTGAAAAGAATAATGACAACAACATTAGCTCACCGGCTCATAGGATAAGTCTTTTCTCCTTGCTTCAATGTTTCGGAAGGAGCTTGTGGTCTCATATCAAGCATTTCTTTGACACTTTTAGTTGTGTTGGATAAAATTTTATTTCATTTTAGTTTATTAATTATACT